TCTTGCACATGAGAATGTGTTCTTGCAGTGCTGTTTCTTATGGGTGATGCATGCACTTGAGTCTGGCTCTCCACTTGACCTTAGGGCTCAACTTCTTGAGCCATATATTTACCCTATGTCCATCTTCTACATTTTCTCCTTTAAAACTGTGAAGAATAAGATACTGGTGCTTTGCTGCTAACATAGCATCACAGTGCAAGCTAGCCAGCCAGCAGCACTACCAGCTTAAGATCATTGGACATCTCTTTTGAAGCAGTTTGTATTCTTACACACGCTATTACAAGTTTGCTGATAGGCCCCATATTTTACTTATGCATTGCACATTCACGCACCCCAACAGTTAGGCTTCTAGCACATGCTTTTGCACATAAATAGGATCATTATTTGAAGGTAATCTGGTTTACAGATATTCTCAGTTAAGTAGCTGCAGCTCTAATTTGAATGGTCAGACTGGCACCTCAGCTCTCATTAGCATGTTCAACCGTACTGCTTCCTGAGCTATTGCAAGGCACCTCCAATAACCCAGGTTGTTCCTCCTGATTCTGCTGTGTATTTTTAGAACAGAGAGCCCCAGGTTCTTTGTGATGGTTTCCTGCTCTGTAATGTCACCTTTTAGATTGCATCCCTGGAGGAAGTGTAGTAATCTGTGTTTCCCAAAAGAAACGCGAGACAAAGGAAAGGGAAGAAAAGCACGTTTGAAAGGGAATTATGAACTGTTAGAAAGCAGGTGCCAAGAAGGGAATTCCTACATGGAAACTATAGTCAGCCCCAGCAGATTTTGCAGTTTTGACTTCCCAGAAGAGAGCTGGCAGCCAAATCTGCTGAGACAGTGGTTCCTCAATCAGTGGGTGCTCCTCCTTTGGGTATGGTGCTGTTGCATTATTGAGTCTATTAGAAGTGTGTGTTTCTGTCCGCACTTTAAATCGATTACTTTAACTGTTTTTATTTAATTTAGTCTGAGGCCTTGATGTTTCTTTGTTGAATCCTTCAATGATTATTTTCATGGTCGGTGAGAAAGTCCTCCCAAACCTGAGTATATTTCCACAATAAGATTCAGTAACACAGTGACCTTTCAGTCCCAAGGAGAGTGCCTGCTTAAGAGCTGTTCAGCTGCCTGCTTTGGTGCAGATTGACATTTGCAAAGTTGATAAGTTGGGTTATTTGGATGTAAATCAACAGGGAAGGAAAAACAACCTCAATGGTTATGATAGCAGAGTCCACTTTTCCTCTAGCTGCTAGATAATGTATCACATAAATTCACCATCAATGCATAATTTAAATGATGGCTACTACCATGTACCAGCATAGAGGTGTGAAAAAGGAGACAGTGAAAATACTGAAAGATTTGATATATTTCACAAGGAAGAAAAAAAAATGCCAATCATTGGGTTTGCTGGTTATGCTTTAAAGCATCTTTGCAACCAGCTGTCTGTCTTGATAAGTCAGTATCATATATAGGGATTAGAAACAGGCCTTCCAGTGTGAGTCATCATGAATTCTAATCAGGATGTGCTAGCATCTGATAGAGAATTTTTTTTTCTTTATTAGCACTGCCCTTTGAAGAACCTACATCTTTTCCTACGCTTTTCTGATAACCACAGGGGTCAGCAGTTCCCTCCCACCAGCCATAGCAGCAAGCATCCTGCCTGCACTCCCTGTTCTTAGCATGGCCTAAGCGTCTTTCAAATCCGTAGAAATTTATTCCTGACATAAGCAGGATCACTGGCATGCACAGTAGCTTTAACCTGAGAGCGAGTCTGCTGAGGCTCTGAAGAAGTTTGCAGGAAGGTCTGTATCCTTTATTGCACAGAGGCATAGCAGTAACCCTAGAATAAAGGTGCACAGTCTTGTATAACATTGAGTTGAGAAGAAGAACACAAGATCGTGATCTTTCTGACACTCTAATGCTTTCCCAGGGTTTGAATGGATCTGTCATTTGTTTTGAGACGCTCAACAGTGCTAGCATAGGCTTTGCTTCTGTAAATATCAGTGCTTCAGAGCAGCACTTAAACCCTTCCAGACACTGGAGAGCCTTCAACGGCAAGGCATACAAATGCCCTTAGGAAAATGACAAAGCTGGCTTGGGTTCAGCTCACAACGTTCATGTTTTATGACAGCGTGGCCCCACTGAACAATCTCATACTCTCTTATTCTCCATCGTTCTGAACTTTTTGGAGATGTGCTTCTTTTAGAGAAGACTCTGGGGAGACCTCATTGTGGCCTTCCAGTACTTGAAGGGAGTGTATAAAGAGGAGGGGGAACGGCTGTTTACAGGGGCAGATGGTGATAGGACAAGGGGGAATGGTTTTAAACTGAGACAGGGGAGGCTTAGGTTAGGTATTAGGAGGAAGTTTTTCACCCAGAGGGTGGTAAGGCACTGGAACAGGTTGCCCAAGGAGGCTGTGGATGCCCCATCCCTGGAGGCATTCAAGGCCAGGCTGGATGTGGCTCTGGGCAGCCTGGTCTGCAGGTTGGCGACCTGCACATAGCAGGGGGTTGGAACCAGATGATCACTATGGTCCTTTTCAACCCAGGCCATTCTGTGTTTCTATGATATGATTCTATGCGGACATATTGTTAAAGCCATCATTGCTTTTCTAGACAAATTAAAAGGTTTATTTAGAGGCTTCCCTGCTTATCCTGTGCTTCTGACTCTCAAGACCCAGTGTCTAATTCAGCATGGGTGTTTTATTAAATGTGACTGCTTATAACATACTGACTTTGAAAGACCTACTTCTTCTGAATTATTTACAGTCACCGCAAACATTGTCATCACAACCAAAGTTGGCTTCCATTGACCTAACAATCTTGTAATTTTCACATGGTTAGACCTCAGAAAATATATTCCTAGTGTTTTGCTCTTAGATAGTTCTGAGTATATATAGCCCTGTCTGTACTAGAAGTTGTTCAAGCTAAAGCTCAGACAGAGCAGGCCATTCCTCCTGCATCCCAGAAGACCTTCAGTGTGGTATTTCTGGTATACTACATATGGAAAGATAGGAATGCTAGCCTTCATCTTTCCTGGCTATGCACATTGGTGCTTCAGGAAGGCAGATATGATATTAAGATAGGTATCCCTTTCCCCATGCTCGGCATGTTTGAGAATACTGCCTTTGATTGTCTCTTGTAGTGCTGTCATTGACTTGAGATGTTGCTGCCTGTCCATCTGTACAAGTTAGCAATAACTGCAGCACTGAAACTTCTTATGGACGATTCACAGACTCAGCTTCCTTCTGTCTGATTTTTTCTCAGACTCTTTCGGATCATCCTTAAGACCTTGCTCAAGTTGCTTTCTGCAGCATGATGGTATGTGATGTGGGCTTTGTCCTCTCTGCCAGGCTATGACAAGGCCATTCTGTGTGCCATTCATAGGCAGGTGTGGAGGAATTCATACCCAAAAGTAGTTCCAGAGGTAGCCCTGAACTTTTACCGGGTCTGAGCCTTACCTTACTTGCCCTTCTCTTGAAATATTACTAAGAATGGAAAAGCAGCAACTTAGTATATTTGCTAAATAGGTGATAGGTTCTCCTGGAACATTCCGACACTTGTATAAATCCAGGCTGTCCCCCTGTCCCATCACTGGAACATATAATTAAGTGTCTAGAAAAAGAGCCTATACACATATATATTAATCATTGGCAAGTCTCTATCCTAAACATCAAGGCATAGCCAGCACCGTCTCCTTCATTCTCCGTGACCTGCAAGTCAGCAGAGTGAAACAGCCCACTGCCTTTTATTAGCTGCAATGCACTGGGCATGACAGCTAAATCAAATGCCAAGTTTGGGAGAGCAGTAATTCAGCTCTTGATTGAGTAATGTACCAAATGTGTCATCCCTGTCCTCCAGAGAAACGTGACCTCGTCAGAGAATCTGTCTTGCTGTGCCTTAAAATAAAAGGTGTTTCCTTGGAGGTCGCTGGTTGTTCAGGGGTCCGGACCCTCACCACCACCTCTCTTTGTTTCCATAGTTTTCAGCAGTATGGCTTAGGAACTGGAGAGAAAATGAGAGTCCCCATCTATGCTAGCCCCACAGCCTCACATGCACATACGGTTATTGTTGTGATGAGCCGCCTTCAAAGCAGAGAGAGAATACTGGTTTTAAAAGTTCTTTCATCACTGATAGTTTGGGTAGCTTTGGTTTTTTGTTTTTTTTTTGCCTTTTATTTTTTAAGTGAGAAAGTTAGTCTTGAAGAAATCTTATTTACTTCTTCGTTGTGGCTTTGTGAGTTGCCCTAAGCATTTCTGCTTCGGCGCAACCTGCCCTTACCCCTGCTCGTGAAACCTTCCTCCTTTTCACAAGGAAATGCTGTGGATGAAGAGTTACCATCTCCCCCCGTGCTGTGCTTTGAAAGCAAGCATTGCTCAGACAGTTCATTGAGATCAGGACTGGCTTCAGCTACTGAACTATGTGGGCTGCAGTAAGATCTATCTTACTTGTGTGTTTGATGTGTAAGCTGCATCAAACCCCCTGATGTTGTTGCTCCCTTCTGCGTACAGGTACTTCTGCTCTACTGATATCCAACTTTGCAAGCAGAAACTATCAAACCTGGCACTATGTTGCCTTTGAATTTGAAACTCAGATCAGCCTTTAACATCAGGTTATGGCATCAGGCTTCCTAATGACAGCAGTTTCAAAAGCGCGTTTTTAATACGTTCCAAACAACAGCCAGAGATGAATTAGGAAGTGCAGAGCTCAGCTGCGTAAGAGAGACCATCAGGAACTGCCTTTTCTGATGATTATTTCCATTAGATTGACTGATTTATTTGTTTCCTTTCTTACTTTACCAAAAAAATGCAGCCAGGTGTGCGGAGGAGCTGGTTGCTCAAAGGCAAGGCTACGAATGGCTGGAGCTGAGGGCAGCTCACAAAGCAGGAGATTATCCTGCCTTGAATAGGAATGTACTTAATTCAACATCTCATTCAGCATGTTCTGTTGTCCTTTTTTTCCTTTCAGCTTTCTCTTTTGAAATGTTAAAAGGCAAAATGCACCAAAGTAAAACACAAGCAGAAAACACTTGAAAAATAAAACTGGTAAAGGTGTCTTTGACATTGAAGGTGATTAAGAACAATTTAGAACAATATTTTCCATGCTTCTGGTAGCCCTACAGGAAGGCTCCGCTGTGATGTATAGCACTGATTTTAGGACAAACCGTGGTGGTGTTGGAACAGAATTGTGAAATTGTTCTACAACAACTGCAAAGTTCATGTTTCTTGCACATTTAGGATGAAAAAAGGTACAGTTGTGACTTATCAGCTGTAAGGGAACTGTCAGGTGGTGGCTTAAACTGGTGATTGAGGCAGCTGGTGAAGGGGTGAGGCTGACCCAGGGAATGCAGGCAGATTGCTTGCACCTGTGCTCCCCAGTGACCAGAAGGGCTGGACTCTATGACTCTATGATTCTATTGTATGAGTCACAGTAGGGCCCTCCAGGGCTCATATGAGGGCCAGCCACTGAAGGGAGAGCATTGCTTTGGTCTGGGCTGCTTGCTGAGGAGTGCTGTCTGGCTGAAGAGCTGCATCACCAACTTAGGTGAGTTCAGTTCTTTTTTTGTATGTGACTATTTATCTACCTGTGAATACTTTGCCTGGTATTGTCAGCAGCCTGTCAGAAGCAATTTTGCTTTTTCTTTAGTAAGAAATCAAGATGGCAGAATACAGCCTCATGCTTAGAAGTTATCTTATACATCATGCTCTCTTGGAAGTATTTTGTTTGTTTGTAACCTACTTTGTGAGGCCAGTAGCTCCACTGCTATCATTGTAACCATTTTGCTGTCTTCTTACCTTGTTGCTCTATTCCTTTTTGTCCCTTCCTTGTTTGTTATTAGCTATAGCAGGAGATTGATAGGGGTAGGTGCTTTGGGTGCTGGTCTTTGAAAGGGAGAAGCATTAAAATATTACCAACTTCTTGTTCTGACATTTTCTCAGGTTCACATAGATCGAGGGGTATCATATGTATTGAGTGAAATTTACGTAACAGATCTACATTAATCATAACTGCAGTGTGAGTGCAGAGTGAGTTTCCTTCTCTCCTTTGCACATGTAGCAGTAAGCTTTGGCAGGTGTGTTCAAGAAATGTCTGGATGAGGTGCTGTGAGATATGGTTTAATAGTTTGTGGGAGCAATAGGGATAGGAGGATGGTTGGGTGAGATGATCTTGTAGGTCCTTTCCAACCTTGTTTTTATGATTCTATGGAAGGACTTACGAAAACCACATTCTGACTTTCTGTGGTATGCTTGGTCGCCTCTTTTCATCCTTGTACAGGCAGGATGTGGTAAGGTGCTGGTATCTTATTTATTCAGCTGTAACAGCAAGGTTGTGCCTTCTTTCCATTGGCCAGTTTGCTTTGAGTGGATGTTCTGCTTTTTCTCAGAGGCCTGAAAGCCAGTGTATGTTCAAGCTGTGTGCACAGGTGGGACTGTAGGAGCTGCAGCTGCTGGAGGGGGAGGGACAGCTCAGCTTTGCAAACCCCTCTAGAGAGGGGAAAAAAGCTGAATCTAAGTAGGGGCTAAAATCAAGTTATTGAGAAATAACCCCAGTTTGGGAAGACAGAGCAGTTGTTCTCCCTTCCTACATGACTGCAGTTTTATATTGGGCTGTGGGCAGGCTGGGTTTTTGGGTAGCTCTGACAGGTAAAGCCATCTCTGTTTGCTTACTTTTCTCTTATAGGGTTGGCTGTTTTCAGGTTAACTCTGGTTTGTTTTTTTATCCGCTGTTCATAATGCTTGCCTTTGGAAAACTATTTGTCTTTACTCACAAACTGAGTTTTTCAAATCTTAGTGTTCCTTATTGGTGGGATATTGTTGGACCATTCTCCCCTGTCCACATTGGTGCTATGTCCAGGGCTGGCCACGTTGTCTCTCAAAAGTGCTTCTCCTGAGCAGGGCCTGAAGTTGCGCCTCTGCTTGGTTTGTGCTGCTCCAACTTGACTCAGATGTTTCATTGCAGTGTACAGTCATCATCTTCTATACTCTGTATCTTCCCAGCATCTCTGTACTGAGCAGCCACATCCCTGTGCACTGTGGGGCACTGCTCCTTATTAGGCACAGGACCTGATGCTCATCCATCTCACAGGCTGTCTGGTGAGCAGAGTGGGTCAAAGTAAGAAATCTGAGTGGAAAGGAGCAAAGTACTTGTCACTGAAAATGTGAAACGCCTTCATTTGGATGCCAGATTTGTTATTTTTCTGTTTATTTACAGTAATATTTTAACTATTCTGTATTTCCTAGTTGAAGTAAAATAGTTATAGAATGAGCTCTCGTTCTTACTCTAATAATAAAAAAACAAAACAAACCTCTTTGAGCAAATGGCTTGAAATACATTGCAACACTATTAGAGCTCCTATTATACACTGCAACATGATTAGGAGCTTGTTGCCAGTGCCATCAGCTTCCTCAAGGCACTGGGTCATTCTGCGTACTGCTATGGGGGGGGCGGGGAGGGGAATTCATGCCTGGCACCAGGGAATAAAACCCTGGGTTGAGCCCAGAGGCAGGCAGTGATCCCTTACCTTGCTGTTTTGGCATCGCCATGGGTGGATCTTGCAAAAATTGTTTGCATGGACATCAAGAGATCAGCTTTTTTAAAGCTGTGTGCGCTCAGGGAGTGGCCTTGAAGTGCTGGCAATTTCTCTGTTTGGAGATGATTACTCTGGAGGCAGTAAACCTGAGTTTGCTGTGGGTGCTCCAACCATCCCTGGGTGCTGAGAGGCAGGCAGGTGCTGGTGCCTGCAGAGCAGCTGGAGGGGATTTGGGCAGGCAATACACTGCTAAGAGTGATGAGGTTGTGTTGGTGCTTTGTCCTAGTACTGATGGCAGGGGTTCCCATCCAGTCACACAATAACAAGGTGCAGGTAGTTCTTGCATACATGTGGAGAAATGGATATGTTGTGAAGAGCTGCCTCTGAGAAACAGCCATTACCAGATAGAGAGCTTGTGGGTTAAAAGAAGAGACCAGCCCAAGAAAGGCTTCTGGCGTTCAGTGTCTACCACAGGCCTCCTGGTCATGGAGAGCATTTTGGTTAGACTTGAACTACAAGAGGCATCACCCGTCAGGATGAGAGCCTGTGAGAATGATTTCAACCACCCAGACATATGTTGAGAAAACAAAATAGTGAGCTGAAAACAATCTGCTGGATTGAACTGAGGATAACTTTGTGGTCCAGGTATTGGACAGACCAGAAACAGCTGAGATGTTACTGGACCAGCTGCTCACCAGGGCCCCTGCCTCGTGCCAGACGAGGAAGACATGGAGGAGTTGAAGCAGATCCTGAGGAGAGCCATGAAGATGCTCAGAGAGCTGTAGTATTATGAAGGAAAGGCTGAGGGAGCTGGGCTTGTGTAGCTAAGAGAAGAGAAGGCTCTCGAGAAATCTCACTGTGGCTTTCCAGTAGTTAAAGAGTGTTTATCGGGAAGGAGACAAACTTTTTACTTAGCCTGATAGTGATAGGACAAGACTGAATGGTTTAAAACTAAGAGATGAGATTGAGGTTAGATGTTAGGAGTTAATTCTTGACTCAGGGGATGGTGAATCCCAGGCCTAGGCTGGGAGAAGCTGTGTATGCCCTCTCTCTAGAGGCATTGAAGGCCAGGTTGGATGGGGTGCTGGACAGCCTGGTCTAATGGCTGGCAACCAGCCTGTAGTAGGGGGGTTGGAACTAGATGACCCTTAAGGTCTTTTCTAATGTAAGCTGTTCTATGATGCAGGGATTATAGTTTCAGTTGTAAATCATAGTGTGTGAAGACAGAAGTTCATTTTGCTCTGATGAAACGTGTGGGACGTTAATGCTGATGGTGGAAGAGGGTTTGTGAAGCCTTACCTGATCCCTTTCAGTTACCTCACCTCTCACTCTTTATTTATTTATTTCTAATGACCACAGTGACTGTGCTTACTAGGAGCTTCTCAGGTGATTTGCTACTGAGAGGCAGAAAATAGATTTGGCACTGTTTCAAATTTTTTGGATTAAATGTTTCCATTTGCTAATGACTTACCTCCTCCTCATTATGCTAGCAGTAGATTCACAGGAGCCTTTCTGATTTAGCAGCGGCCTGCGTAGCCAAATTGTTTTCTGCTGCAATGCAGCTTTATTGCTATTGTTGTTTTTTTTCACCTAATTTAACCAAATGTGCAAGATTTCTGTGGTAAAAGACCATGAAATAGAGCAAATCTCTCTGAATTCTCCCAGCTGCCGCTGCTGTTCTCTGCAAGGAGTCGCAGGGCAGCAGCTGGAAGGAGGCCTGGCGGGCTGAGAGAGGGCCGAGCTGATGTAAGAAGGCAGTGTTGGGCTTTATTCCTGTGGATGCAATCTGAAAAGTGCTGCCTTCGGATTCTGAAGGATCAGGATTTTGTGATCTCACCTGTGGTAGGTTTCAACTTCCTGTCTGGCAGGACGGGAGTCTTCACTGCTGTACTCAGCTTCAGTCTTTCAGTATGAATTTCCACAAGTTTATTCTTGCTAGCGGGGCCTCTTTCCCCCAGGTTCTGCACCATGAGGTGATGTGTGTAGTCTGAATGACTGGGAGGGACGATGCAGAGAAAGCCAAGCCTGTGACCTCCTGGTGCAGGTGGTTCTTACGTACCAAGCTGAAATTTGTGTGCAAAACTGCATATTTGAAACATGAACATTTATATTTGCGCGTTTGGTTTGAGTGAAAATCTGCTTTGTTACTGCTGGAATGCAGCACAGCTCTGGGATTACTCCCAAAGGAGCAAGTTGTAAACAGATAGAGAAGCTGGATCCTTTAAAGGAACTTAGTTTGTGTACAATTACATGGCTGTTTTCCAGTGCATGAGAGAGCAAGCTGTGTCCTCTGCCTGCATGCTGTTCTGTGATCTGCTTTTGGAGGTGCTCTAATTCAGTGTGCCTGGGCAGTTTGTTCAGCATGAGGAAGCCTGCGTGCCTGGGGGAGGCAGTGACTGGCTTGCAGTCAAGCAAAAGATTTCTGTAAGCAAGAGTGTTAATGAGGTTACAGAGCAGTAGAGGAATTACTAATTGTGCCTCCCAGGCAGCCCTCTTGTCTGTTCATCACCTGCAGACGTGCTACTGCTGCCATGGGGAAGGTGAAGCCCAGCACCTCTCCACGGTCCCCAGAGCAAGATGTGGTCTTTGATCTCAGAAGCAGCGCAGCCACTTGTATCAAGAACACAACTTCTGTGTGATTCAGATTACATCTGAGATGTGCTGGGTAATGAGAGACTCTGATTGGCATTCATTAGTTGGGACAGCACCAGCCTTCCTGCTTAAATCGGGGATTCAGCCTCTCATCCCTCTTCGTTCTTTGTGGTTGGTAGGGGAGAGTTTTGTAAGCCATTCAGCCTTTGATTTAATCTTTTTGAAGAGTACTTACAGGCAACTGAGAAATCAGTGTAAAGCTGCTTAGTAAAATAGAAGCAGCCTTCTGAATGGAGGATCTCGTGACAAATGCCATGTAACCTTTTTTAGCTTTAAAGAATACGAACTCTGATCCCAGAAGATCCTGAACTAGCAGCGCTTCCATCCTCAGAAATAATGAAGTATACACCCTGAGTATATGTACTGTTGGTACACACAGCTGGAGGTATCTGTGCTCGCTGTTGGAAGTCTAACAACATTTACAGCCTGCCCAGGGCTGCCTTGACCCAAAGCTACTGCTACAAGGTCTTGACACAACCTGTTTCTTCTTTCCCCCTTTCTGAGATATCTTTTTTTAATCACAATAGGTTCTTTCTTGCCTTTTGTATTTGCTTCTGTCTTTTATTTTCACTTCTGACTTCTTGCTTTTGTGCACTGCCATACCTGTTTATTTCTATGGAAAGAAGTCTGTAGGCAGAGTGCTGCCACCAGGAGAGGCTTTCTCCAAGAGAAAAGGGGTTCTTCCAGGCTCCGTCAGCAGCGCTGCTTCCCATCACAGTGATGTTAGACTGATATAGGTAGAATTTTGCAGACTTCAGGGAAGCATTAGTGAAAATCATCATTGAGGATGTACCTGTAAGTGCTTGATTTTACAAGTCCAATAGATATCCATTTTATTTTTTCAGTTAGAATTAAGGTAACTTTGGCTGTTGAATTGCCTAATTTTTTTTTTTTTTTCACCATTTATTCAATTGCTTAAAGCAGAAACTTAGCTTTGGGCCTGATTACGTTTTTTTTCCAGGTGTTTGCTAACAGGGTTTGCATATATCCATCTGTTTTTGTGAATGCGTGCAGGTTTGTGGGCTGTATGAGGAAACTGCTGTTTAGTGGGCTTTGTAACAAATTGAGTCAAAACTGTTTTCCTTTTTGGCTTTGTAGCAAGTGTTGGAAGATTTGTAAGTTCACGTAGCAGCCCAGAATGCTCCTTCTGACCCAGCACAGACCTCCTCTTTTGCTGTCTGTTCCATTTCGCTAAGCTCATGCTGTTTCTGTGGAAGTGTCTGAATTATCTAAGTGGATCTTAGTAAACGCACAAAGGTTTGTGGTGATAGAAAACAGCCGATGTTACTGTTGAGCTTTGTCTGACGCTTTCAGAAAAAGATTTGGAGGAAACAAATGGACCTTATAAAGTTGGTACGGTCTGGGGTGCAGAGTTGTTGTGCTAGGAAGTCAATGGCAAATGGCTTATTGGTATGTCCCTCCCTGCTGCCCCCCTGTGCACCTTAGTCTTGCTTTTAGGATGGAGCAGGTAGGGATTAATGTTAGCAAAATTAGTTGCGTTCTGTGAAACGAGCATGGGTAACATCTTCCCAATTTTTCATCCCTGTAGGACATCTCTCTGTGACAGTGCAGCATACTTTGATGGAGTATGAAGAGGGCTCAGAAGTTCACGTAAGTCTGTGTGTTACAAATGCAAGTGTGTTTTTGACGTTTTGAGAGCATTGAGGAGTTTAGATGGGGTGATAGCACGTTGCTGACTGCATTCTGTGGTATCTTTGGAGGTGTTTGGAGGGGCTTTAGGTACTGCAGGGATGGAGCCTGCTTTCCCACAGCCCTGGTTAGGGCAGGCCAGGAGGCCTGCAAGGTCTGTGGGTGCCCTCAGGGCCCTAACGTCAAGCAGTCAAGTGTTAACACACACTTTGAGCTCTTGGTCCTTAACGTTCTTAGATGCATTTAGATGCAGAACATCTGTTCTGCATTCCAAAAATAAGCAGAATATTGATGCATGGTGAGGACAGATCTACTTGTGATAATTGCATTGCTGATTTCAGATATGTAAAGCCATAGGAAGTTACTAAAGCGTAGCTGAAATGGTATAATGGTAGGCTGGCGCTGTATTGATGGCCATTTTTACTGTTCAAGATAAGGCCGAATATACAGCACCTACCCTGTTGTTTCAGTCTGATGTAGCCAATTTAAGTTAATTTTGCATATTTCTATTGGTAATAGCTTCATTGTATAAGCCACAGTGAAAAGAATAATGAAGCTATTAACAGCACGTCTTAATCAATGTCCAATATGTGCACAAAAACCCAAGTGGAATTATCTGAGACTACCTTCTGTTGTAGTTCCTGGATATTCTGACATGAACCTGAATGTTAGCATCATACTGTTGTAGACTGACTAAGCAAGTCAGCTTGACTTCATTTTATTTTGGCTTAGTGTGGCTTTTTGTAGGAACGAAAATGCTATGTTTGTGAGCACAATGGGCGTAAGATGGCCTGCTGCATATTTTAATTGAAGTCCAAGAAAGACGTTCAGCTTCCAAAAGAATGTCAATGGCTGGAGTCTGTCAGTGCAAAATGCAACAGAGCATAGCATTGGGGGCTGGCAAAATTCTGTTGGATTCATCTATAAATCCATATAATTACCTGGAAGGCTTTCGGTGGGAGGGAATAATTAGAGGAGATTCCAATTTCTAAAATTATATTTAATGTTCCTGGCTATTTCTGGTACTTTATTTTCTTTTATTCACTGCCCTCTAGAGGTCTTGCAAATGAAATTAGAAAAAGAGAAAACAAGGTTACAGCAGTGACTGTCTCTGGCTGGTGCAGCTATGCAGTGGCTTGTACGACCCTTGAAGGTAATAGCATAGGTGCTCCTAGAGCTAAATGAAGTTTCCCACTTTCGCTAGGAAGGAAAGAAAATATATTTACAACGGGAGAAATCCCAATTTTAACACAACGACTGGCAGTGCCAGTTTTGACATGTATAAAAGCAGCTACATGGAGTTTCAGGTGCCTGCTTTATTACAGCAGTAAGATGGCTTTAAGTTACCAGTGCATCACAGGTTTGTCCACTTATTCCTTATAACTTTTTTGCATTAAAAACACATTTTGGGGGAGAGGTTATGTATGGGCTCTCCTCTGCTTGTTTTCAGGAATTAGTTGTTTTGGTAGCTTGGATATGGCCATCAAGGATCTTCTGGGAAGGGCAGGTGGGCAGCAGCATGGTGTGACAAGTAAGCCTCACTTCTTGAAGAAACTTATCTGAAGATATAAATGCTATTTCTAAAGTAAATGAGGGTTTCAGTGCAAGCTTTGCTGCACGCATCAGTGCTTGGTAGCAGCCTAAGAAATGAATATAGATGCATATGTAACTCTTTCACCCTTTGTACCCTGGAAGCTGTCTTGTGCATCCTTGGAGTCCGGTTGTTGAGCTTCCATAGCTCACTGCAGTGCACACCCTTGTGCTATCTGTGGGGATGGTGATGGTGGTCACCTCAGAAGCACTTGGCTGGCCAGAACTGCCACCCTCCTGTGGAGGCATCCTGATTCATCCGTATCTCTGTCTTTAAGATTAATCATGGATCTCTGACGCTGTAATTATATAGCCACTGTGGATTTATATATGATACTTATCTCCATGATTTGTCTCTCCTGTGTACATCCATAAATTTATTTTCCCTGTTCAAGACTCGGTTATGGGTAGTTTTATGGACTCAGAATTCAACTCGAGTTCAAATTTCAATTTTGGTGCTGGGCAATTCTTCCCCAGTGTGAATTTATTCCTAAATTTTAATCTGAAGTGGAGAGTATCTTTATCAGTTATTGCAAGTGTACAGTAGCACAAGGAAAGCCAAGGAGATAACTGGGTTGGCTTTATTCATCAGTGCTTGCTGATCTGGTGGGCACCCAGAATCAGCTTTGTTTTTTTTTTTTTTTTTTTTTTTTGGGGGGGGGGGAACAGTTTTGATAGTTGAACGTTGAAAATTAACGTACATTGATCTGCAGCTTTGCATTGTTCCTCCTAATTTTCCAGTTAATAAGGGATTTGGTGAATCGCAGGAGACTTGAGCGTTTGGAGCCATTTCTCAGAGCAGAGTATTGGCTGAATTGATTTGTCTGGAATCAGAAAGGGGTTTTGGTGTTTTTTGTGTTTTTTTTTTTCTTTGAACTAAATGGGAGCAGAATTCTAGTGAGGTTGGTTTTCTTGCAAGTTAGCTTTTCTGCTTGCTGATTTCCCTCTCGTGTATAGGTCCAGTGTATTCTTAATACTGCATTCACTGATTTCTCTCCCTGTTTGTTCTTCCTGCATTCAATATCTTGGCTAGAATTGTCGATAAAACTGCCACTTCGTACTTGCAACAACCAATGACTTCTATGGTCATTAACAACTTTGGCAGAGATTGCTGAACTGGAGTTAGGTACTTCCTGTATTTTGGTGAACCTGAACCAGCCCTTGCTCCAGGGCTGGCAGCCCAGAGGTGTCCTCTGCCTGCTCTCAGCAACCCCAGCAGCAGCTTGGTTTGCTCTGGGTGCTTTTGGAAGGGCTTTATTTTTAACACTGTAGGAATTCAGCAGGTTGCCTTAGATTCTGAGTAAAGCAGACTTGGTTAATAGCTCTAGGATGAAAATACAGATTTACATTGTTTAGTCAGATATTTCTTTCTGCAGCTTTTCCAGCAAGTGCTGCAAACGCCTGCAGGTGTTCAGGCACGCTGCAAACCTGACAGTGTGTAGAGATATCAGACTTCACAGAGCTGTGGATGCTCAGTGCTTTACGAAGCCTATTAGCTGATCTCTTCAGTGTACGTGTTTTTATCTGCAATGTACGGAATAACAGCGGATGGATTTATTTTCCTGCTCTGGTAGTTATGGGCTGGGTATGTGTGTAACTCCTCCCTGTTTTTTCTCACCCTTAAGGCCTGCTGGGTGAAGAAGGTAGCTCAGAAAGGCTGTGGTCATCAGCTGCTGCTTTTGTTCCTCGTCTTAGAAGCGTTAGGTTCATGTGCACCAAGACAGTGACCTGCAGTAAACAGCAGCAAGTCCAGATTGTCCACTAGTGGCAACACAGAGTCAGGAGTAGAAAGCACACAATAACTACATCATCTATTTTGCACTAGCATTGATGGAAGTTGGTTGGGGTTTCTTCATTAATGTTAGCAAGCGTGTTATAGAAACAGCATGGAGTATTCAGGAATTCATAAATGCATGTTGTTTTGCTATATAAAGCATGTCATTGTCTACTTTGGTGACATGAAAAATATATGCAGTGCTGAAGAGCCGTTACTTAAAAGCATTCAGTATTAAATTGAAATGGAGAGATGTCATGGTGTCTTCTGTGAGCTCATCGTCGTGCCTGGTGGTACAGCAATAGTTCAAGGCTTGGTTCTGTAAAGAACTGTTCATGACTTAATAAATACATTTCTTCTCTCCACCTTTCAGTATGTTTGAGTTTCTTTCAGAGCCTGGAAGGATAAGTGCAGAAAGACCTCATGTTACTGGGAAGCTGTGAGATATGGAGTTCTAGACTGGCCAGAGGCTTTTGCTGCATGGTACAGGCATACCTCCAGGTGTAAGTAGTGCTCAGCTGAACTCTGCAGGGCTGTCTGCAAATGCTCTCAAATGCAGGGGTAAGGATGGGGAGAGACTAGTGCTGAGCTGTGATGCACTTGTTTGTGTCCCTTGCTCAGTCTCTAGTATAAACAGAGATATATCAACAGTTGTTTTTCAAGCAGAACTGTAAAATAAATCAAACAACAGAACGAGGTGGGTATGTTGAGAGCATTATGAAGCTGTCACTCCTCTCCATTTTATTTCCTTGCTCTATTTAGAGCTTCATGTCAGCATGCGCGTATGAACAGGAGAGACAGTATACAGGCAAATGACCTAAGGAGGAATCATGTGTTGTGCTGAAACAAGTAGGCTGAAATAGCTTGCTTTTCCTTATATCATTTGCCAGCTCTTGTTTTACGGATCTGTTGTTGTGCCTAGGCATAACCTGTTAAAACCATCCCACCCTGGATTTCTCCTGTAACGTCAAAAAGAATTGAAACATGTGCTAGAGTGACTCTGAGAGGTCCTAAGCGTTCTGATTTTGCAAGCAGAAGTGTCTCAAAGAAGCTCAAGTTCTGTCAGTTCGGTTTCTGTACTGAACTTCACCAAATCAAAGCCTTGAAAGTGTTCTTGTTTAAAGAAAAAAGATGAAAAAGCTATTGCTGGGAGCCAGGATGCCTGCAAGAGAGATGAAAGTATGAGCAGGTTATTTTGTATATTGGTTCCATGCGTTCTTCGAGATTTTAGTGTGTCGAATATTTTTAGCTGGCTTAATTACTGGTATAATCAAAGTCGTAGGGTAGCGATAGCATCCTTAGATGCTGAGTAAGGAGCAGTCTGTGTCAGATCTGTTAATGGAATGAGACGCTGATGTTGCAAGTAGCCTGCTAAGCATTTGAAGAGAACTTGCATGGTGAGTCTGGTTATTACTGAGCGTAGTGTGAAACCTTACAACCCCCTGGAGCTGGTTGTGGGTGCAGCCCACTGCATCCTTCTGGAGCATTTTGTTGCTCCGGTCTTGCTTCATGCCAATGAAGAAAGAAAAGAAACTTAACTTTCAACCCCAAGGTGATCCCAGCTATACGAGCAGAATAAGGGTTTTAAGTTGGTTGA